CGTAATTACATGTAATAAGATAGTTATTGCATTTAATTACCATTTTATTACCTCGTAATTACATGTAATAAGATAGTTATTGCATTTAATTACCATTTTATTACCTTGTAATTACATGTAATAAGGTAGTAATTACATTTAATTACAATTTTTATTACCTTGTAATTACATGATAATAAGGGTACCGTAAAAGAAAGCATTACCAATTTTTCAAGGTTTAGAAAAAAATATTTCAAGCAGATTCCAAAACTTTTCTAAACCTGCAGCAGAAAGCCAGGTGTCAAGGTTTATTTTATTTGTAATAATTCCTGGTTAGGCTGGCTGTGTGCGCTCTGTTACTTAATAATGTGAGCGTGTTGCATAACGAGACAACATTAAATCTGCTCGGCTGTAAACTGAGCTCGGGGTTTTTTTTTTTCAGGAGGAAATAAATCAGTAACTTCCAGTTCGTGCCCCACCAGGGAGAAGAAAACAAACAAAAACGCAGAGAGAAAGTGAACAACGTAGTGAGAAGTATTAAAATGCTTTTATCTGATAGTTGACGGCGTCACACCTGGAATGACTTAATTTCCTCTGTGTGTGACAGTAAACAGAGAGGAGGTCACCTATCACCTGTGGGTTTTTTGACCTAGTTTATAGCAGCGGGGGCGGAGGGTTGCTGTATAAAGGACCGAGGCTCAGAGACGTCTTCACATCAGCACCTCCAGACAGGTTGGTGAACTCCTGCAGCTCAGAGGAACTTTTTATGGTCTTTTTGCGCCGTTTTTAAAGATTTCCTGTTTGTGTCTTGCAGCTGAGAAGTCTCTCTCTCTCTCTTCTCTCCGTACGGATTAACGTCACTCACCTGTTGGCACCATGAAGCTGGCCTCCGTCGTCATCGCCTCCTTCCTCCGCCCGGCGCTCGCCGCTCTCGCCCTGCTGCTTCTGATGGGTTGGGCGGAGGAGGCGGCGGCCCACCCGTTCCACCGGACGCTCAGCCGGCCGCTGCAGGACCCGAAGACGCACGGCGCCATCAGGGAGGTGTCACAACACGTGAGTGTCCAACCTGACAAAGATGTGATTTGAATCTTTTAGTTCTTGTTTATCCATCTAACTCTGAAAAATAAAAGTTTRTGTTTCTAATATTTTGTTGGTCTTAAATGTTCCATCTTGTGCTTGTTTTTGATTTTTCAGGCTCAGAGGAAGCAGCCGGAGGAAGACACGAGCTCCAGACTGATGCCCAGAGTCAACACTAACCAGGTAAGACGCTTTCTTTACGACTGAAGATTGAAATAAAAAGATGCAGTTGTCTGAACACCGGGCCTCTCCACCTCCTCCAGAACAACGTGGAGATCTGCTGCCTCCACGCCAACATCCTGGACTTCTACCTGCACAACATCCTGCATCACTATGACAGCGAGCATCCCAGCATGCACCAGCTGAAGACCGACCTCCACCGTGTGAGCCAGGACCTGCAGGCTCAGGGCTGCGTGAGTCTTTCTTCATTTCATTAAAGAAAAATTTTATCCTGCTAAATTACTTCATTTATTTTGAAGTTATGAGCTATTTTAGAGCGTTTGAGTTCATTTTTACTGATTTGAAATCAAACTAATGTTAGTTTTATAAACATGTTTGATTCCACTTCTCAATAAAACCCTTTAATAATAACAAATATGAATAAATAAGTTTTATCATGAGTTTATAAAACCTTTATGAAGCATCAACAATACTTTATAAATAATTTATTAATGTTATTCAAAGCAATAATTTATAAAAGGCTTATTAATGCTT